AAGAAAGAAAGGTTCGGCCAGACTAGAAGAGAGTCAAAATCTCTCCCCTAGCTGACCCACTTGTATTTGTTCAAAAACATAGAGTTACAATAGACCTTAAAATAAAAACAAAAATTATAAGTATTTTTTAATTATTTTTATCATATATATATATATACATATTTTTATAAAAATAAATAATATAATAAATTTAGAAAAATATAATATAAAAATATATATTTATAAATAAATAAATAACACATATATATATGTATAAATACATAATATATCAGATCGGATAGGAGTGATCTGAATCTAATCCGATCCAAAGATCCAAACAAAGATGATCCGAATTCGACCAAATAAGATTATACCCCTAATTAAACCCAGTATTTTCAATCTATTGTTGACCCAACCGGTCATATTAGTGATCGGGTTACTATCCAAGTTTGGGTCAATCGGTAACCCGTTATGATACAAAGACTCATCAACACCCTGTCAATGATTCGTCAACCCAGATGATAGAACAGTTGACTGGAAGGGAAAAACGGTTCAACCTCTGCTGGGTTAAGTTTAAAGACACTGGTTGACTAGATATCTCGTCCAAATTTATTTTGGCCAAAGTTTTGAATTTTTTTTTTTAATTTTTAGCAAAATGTTTAGAATATTTCAAAATTCATAATATTTTGGAATAACTGAAATTAATTTTGGTTTTTTACAGAATTTATTTAAAAATTAGTTAAAATATTTAAAAAATTCACAATATAACTCTGCTTTTTAACGATCGACCAAATGAACAAAATTTCAAATACTTTAATTGCACGACCGAAATTTTGGTTTTCTGAAAAAGCAAAAACCTTGGAATGGGTCCCACCAAATTGATCACCTTTAATTTGGTCTAAGAGTAGGAGATAACCTATGCCAAGACTAGGATGATATGACGATTACAATTGTGTTTTTTATTGTTTAATTTTGGAAAGCGAAGAACGAAATTCATTGAGATCCAAAAGAAACTTCAACAAAAATAAAGCTAAAGATCAGATATGGTAAATATATATATATATATATATATATATATATATATATATTTTAATTAACCTTGTCAACTTAGATGAGCATATAGAAATCTCTCTGCAGGGACCCATTTAGTGGTGGGTCTAGATCTCTAAACCAGAAGGCAGAAGCTCCAAAAATGTTTTAGTGGGTTCGAGGTCTTCCAATGTACTAAACTTTTCTTGTAAGCAAAGCTGTTAATTCGATATATACCATACAGTACTGAGTACAGAAGCTGTGAGGGAGAAGGAGAACCCACTTCAACTTGGGAAGCTAATTAAGCTAGCCAGAAAAATACGGTGATGCTCTCTCTTACAAAGAATGGGGGACAAGTCCAGCTAGCGAAGGCCAGAAGTAAGACAATGAATGCTCAGTTCCTTGTCCATAGAAGCAATTTCAACGGACATTGTTCAGGTGGGCCTTTGACCTTACATACACAAGACATTAAAAATTTTGGTGGGTTCTTCAGACCTTAGATTGTTTCACAATCTTTTTTCTGGGCTACGGAAGATTGTTCATTTGGGCCTGTTCGTTTTTGGAGAAGTTATTTTATTATTATTTAAGGTAAATTATAAAGACCCCCTGTACCATGGGATTAGTAACAAAGACCCCTCTATTTTGTTTTGTGACAAAGACTCCTTGAGACAAAGACCCTCCTTCCGTTAAAATCTGTTATTGTAATATTTTTTAATTCTCATATTACCCTTTTAATAATTATTTGGAAAAAAATACTGTTCATTTTCTCCAACCTCGAGACACGAACAGCAGTGGGATAACGGTTGCAGCGGCGGCGGACTTCCTAAGTCCACTCTCTCCCCGATCTCTCTTCTTCCCCTTCCCCTTTATCTCCCCAAAAGACCCTGTTTGTATGGCAAGGTCTTCTTCTTCAACTCAGATGCCACCCGGTTCACCGTGTAACGCAACTCGTGAGCTGAAACTGGCCCTCTTCTCCTCGWACTGGAGCTGTCGGTTGACCAGAAGCTTGAGGATTGGGAAAAAATCGAATACAAAGGCAGACATGAACTTTGACGAATCGATCCATCTCCGCCTCTTGCCTTTGCAATTCCCCATCGATATCGTCATCAAGGAGCGAGAAAAGAGGTGAATCACCTGAAGAAGCCATACGCCTATCATCCAGGGACAACCCCAAACCTGTGGAAACCGACCGTGTTTGCAAGAAATCCACCGAAGATATCTGGGAGTTGTTCTCCAAGAAATCCTGTTCTTTTAACCTTTTCTTCTTCAGCTCCGAACCATTCTTCCACCGCATACCGCCGCCACCACAATCTGTTGCCGGAGTCGGAGCAGGAGCAAATCCGGCCACATGAACTAAAAAAAGTAGAAAAAAAATGAAGTAAATAACTAAAATATTTTACAAGAAAAATAATGGAGATGAAGAAAATCTCTAGAGAGATTGGTTATAGGGAGAGATATATTGGGGTTGAGATTGATCGGCGAAATTTGTGGAGTTGAAGAAGGTGATTGGTGATGACATTTGACCATCCATAGATAACAAATTTCTGGATAAAAGAAATCAGAAAAAAAAAAATTCAAAGAAGAAATAAAATAGCATAAATCATTAAAAAACATTAAAAAAAAACAATATCTATATATGATTCCGTCGCTTGACCTTCTGAAGCTCTTTGAAACAACAGAAAATCTTTTAGCCTCCATTTCTTGCTCCCCTTCAAAGACGACGATGATGTAGAAGAGGATTTTGAATTTGACGAAGCAGATTTGGTGCTTTGTTGTTGCTCTTTTTCTTCCCATGCAAACGTAGAAACACCCCTGCAGCCGAAATTCGAACCAAAGAACCTTTCTCTCCCTCGACCGTGTTCTAATCCTTTATGCGCTTGCTCTATTGCAGCTGCGAACGAGTCAAAGTCTTTCTTGTGTAGCGGGGACAACGCTTCACGGATTATCCTTTTCCCCTTCAAGATATGTGATCTTGGGGACCTCGGCAATGAAACAACGCTCTTCCAAGTAGCAAACTCGTCAACTCCGCTAGGAATCATTCATCGGCGGCGAGCGAAGCTGTCTCTAACTGACCATTGAAATCAAAGGCGAAGTTGTCATCATCGTTCTGGGTGTCGCTGGATTTCAACTTTCAAGGCTTCTGTTCCCAGTCAAATGGGATGACCGAAGAAGAGCCACCCCTGCCACCGGTGCCGTTGGTGATGGAGAATTCTAAAGCCACTATAGATTGCAGCTGCCCTAGTAGGACTAGTGGGAGCGCTGATGTAGGGGGAAGAGTAGGCGCTGTTGAAGTTGAAATCCATGCCGCTGGGTGGTGCCGGTATCACCACCTCCATTGTCGAGTTTGGAATTCTATCCTTATCTCGCTCAATTGAGAAGCTGAATTTCAGAATTTCAGAGTTTTTCTAAGAAAGAGAGAGAGAGAGAGAGAGAGGGAAAGGGAGAGGAAAGAGGGGAGAAAGAGCAAATGGCAAATGGGCAGCAGAGTTGATTGACCAACAAATGAATTTAAGAAGAAAGTTGGTTGCTTGTGGTATAGAAAGAAGCCACCTTTTTTATTTCGTTATTATGATGTCCACAGCATCGTCGTCGGCAATCATTGGGTCAGCTACGATGGTGTTGGGACTGAGTTTCGTGCTCAATATTTGCTATGCTTTTCTTCGAGAAGAAGAAAGGGGAGGAGAGAAAGGGGAAGGGAAGAAGAGAAATCAAGGGAGAGAGAGGGAGAACTTCGGAAGTCTGCCTGCTGTGAGGTCGGGGAAGATGAATAGTATTTTTCTCTGAATAGTTATTATAAGGATAGTATGGGGATTAAAAAATATTGTAAGTAAGACTAACAGAAGGGGATCTTTGTCTCACGGTCATAGTACAGGGGGGCCTTTGTCGCAAAACAAAGTACAGGGGGTCCTTTGTCACAGACCCCATAGTACCGGGGGTCTTTGTAATTTACCCTATTATTTACTTGTATAAAATGCACTTACCCATGTTCTTTTATTTTTCAGGTAAATAAGAAAATGATCATTTTAACCGTAAAAACCCATTATTAAAAGGGGCAATATTGCCTCATCAATGTATTGTCAACTTCCTTAGGTGGGAAAGTTATTTACCCACTTGGGACATTGGTATCACTTTATACCCAGGTATACCTAAGAAAAATAAATTTTCCCCCACATAAATCTGAAAAAATAACATGGGTATCTTGGTCAATGGGAATCAAAATCCCATTGACCACGGCCCTTAGTACCATGAAGCTAAGTTATTGGGCAAAGGAGCTCACAAGAAGCATGGTTGAAGATAGGGTCTGGATCCAAAAGCATTTGAAAGAGAACTCCCAAAAACTCTCTCACTTGTTCCAACTACCATTTAATTCCATCTCTAATGTATCAAACTTAATTAAGTTTAATCCCATTGAGATTTTCTCAATCTATATACTATTATAAAAAGTACGAATGAGGGAGTGGAATTTTTCTTGACTAAAATGCCTATAGTGTATTTAATTCATCTCTAATTATGAGGTTGAAAGTGTAATTTCAATTAATGCTTTTAATCTCCTTTAACCCTCTATCATTAAGTCTTATATTTAAATTATTAACTTTCATTCTCTCTTATTAAGTCCTATATTTAAGTTATTTTTCATTAATAAATGCTACTAGTTACATCTATGCCCAATAGTTTTAACAATATAAACCCATATATTTTAAAACTTACTCAAAAATAAATTCATTCTTTATCCAAGTGACGAGTAAGCAATTCAACCATTAGTATCAAATTGGTGAAGCCATGAAGTGATAGTCAAATAATTAATTTTTTAAATAGAAATAAATATAGAAAATTACAAAAATGTGTAAAAATTAGACACATTTATTATATTTTTGTTAATCAAATTGAAAAAGTGTAATAATCAATAATTATTTTTAATGATGATGAAAATGAAATACATAATCTAAAACTAACTAAAACGAAATTATTTTTTGTTTTGGCAAAGATCAATAGTTCAACTTATGGGTCAAATGTGTCAACCTTTAATGTCATAATTAAATAATAAAAATTAATAAAATATAAATACATAAAATTGAAAAAAAATACATAAATTTTACAAGAAAAAACATTGGGCTCATGTATATCATACATTTATTTTTTACATACGTAGAAACAAAAAAAAATATAGAAAAAATTGAATACATCTATAATTTTATATTTACACTACTATTAAAAATACAAATAAGATTGTGGAACGCATCTATAAGTTCTAGAATCATCATCTAGAACTGCCACATGCATACTTGCTAGTTTCCAAAAATGTGAGAATAACAAGGCTACCAGCAGTGCAATCCATTACACTAAATGCTGCCACTCCACTCATAAGCCCAATTGTTTTAAGGGTCATTTACTAAAACATCCCCTATAGTTTGATGGATTTACTAAAACCTATCCTATAGTTTCAATTTTATTAAAACACCCCTATAGTTTGCAATCAATTTACTTAATTGACCTTCCATTAGATGACAATGGAAAATAACAGTCTTGACCCTAATATCCATTTGAATAAATTTAATTAAAAGAAAATAAAAATACCATTTTTCCCCTAGTAATACACGAGCAACTACTCTATTTATCTCTATTTTATCAATTTGGTTTTCTTTACAAAGAAGTATTAGGGGTACTTTTGGAGTAATCGATTGTAGGTTCGTGCCCTTAAACATTTTCCACTCAATTTAGGCGACAATGTTACTATTTTCATATGGTAAAAGAAACACTTCTTAATAAAAGGCCGATTAAGTAAATAGAAAACTATATGGTAGGTTTAAGTAAATCTGTAAAACTATAAGGGATGCTCTTGTAAATGACCCTTGTTTTAAATATTTGATATTTTGGGTCTAGTAAAACTATTCATGTTTTCTAAGAACATTGATGGGATATAGGACATGATGATCAGATCATCCTTACTAATTTAGATGCAATTGGATTATAAGATTAACTAGCGGAGGAACCCTACTTCGCAGGGGTTGGAATGGAACCGTCGACTCGTTGACCTATTCTCTGGCCAAAAACTGTTGAATCGGTCAATGATCCATTGACTCGAGCGGTTGAATCGCCGACCCGTTTAATGGTTTTTGGCAACTTTTTTATTTTTTCATTGGGAGCCATCCAAGCATCCGTTTTCGTTTTATCCTAATTTCATTCCCTAGCCAAAAATTGTTGAATTGGTCAACGACCCATTGACCCATTCAATGGTTTTTGGTCGTTTTTTTTTATTTTTTTTTATTTTTGTTGTCAGAACAGGCCATCCGTTCAAACTGAACAGTCGAACCGTCGACCCAAAAACCAGTGGCTAGAGTAGTTCCGTCTTCAGGTCATATGAGTCACACGCTCAAATGACATAACACGTATGGTACTGCTTAATGGACCTCAGACACTCAATTATTTGCCTGTATTTTTTTTTGTCAGAATGGGTCATCCGTTTTTTTTTTAATTGGGTACCGTCCAGGCAACCAGTTCCATTTTACCCCAATCTTAGTCCCTGGCCAAAAACCGTTGAATCAGTCAACAACCCATTGACCCGAGTGGTCGAACTGTTAACCCATTGACCCATTCAATGGTTTTTGGTCATTTTTTATTTTTTTAATTTTTGTTATCAGAATGGGTTGTTTGTTTGAATTGGACGGTCGAACCACCAACCTGAAAATCGATGGCCAAAACGCTTCCATTTTCGGATCGTATGAGTCACACGTTCAAATGACATAACACGTATGGTACTATTTAATGGACCTAACAAACTCAATTTTTTGCCTATAATTTTTGTTGTTAGAACGGACCGTCCGTTCAAACCAGATGATCAAATCGTTAACCCGAAAACTAGTGGCCAGAATGGTTCCGTAATTTTTTGCTTGTAATTTTTGTTGTCAGAACGGGCCATCCATTCGAACTGGACGGTCAAACCGTCGGTTGTCAGAACGTTATTAACAACATTTATCAATAATAGTAAGTAATTGTACTATTTAATTAAATAATCATTAATGATAGTTTTAATAATATTATTTAGTTATTTTTAATATAACAGTAAATATTAAATTTATGAATAGGATTTATTAACAATATTCATNAAATTAAATTAAATTAACAGTATTTATCAGTAATAGTAATTATAATATTTAATTAAATAATCAATAACAATACTTTTAATAACATTTTTAATTATTTTTAATATAACAATAGTTACTAAATTTATTAACAGTACTTATTAATAACAATATTTATAATAACAGTAATTATTAATTATAATCACTAATTATAATTTTATTAAATTACTGTAATAATCAGTAATTATAACAGTAATTTAATAACAGTAATTACTGTTATTAACAATACTTTTAATAACATTTTTAATTATTTTTAATATAACAATAATTACTAAATTTATTTATAGTATTTATTAATAATAATATTTATAATTTTAATTTAAACTAAAATTATAGTAAATATCTATTTATTAACAATATTTATAATAACAGTAATTATTAATTATAATCACTAATTATATATTTATTAAATTAATGTAATAATCAGTA